TGTAAATAATGTGAGAGAAAAGTATTGAGAGAAGTCCACATACCAGCCCGCACAATGTCTTCCAGCAGGAAATTCAGTCAAGCAGTTAAAGACATAGAAATGTGATGAATCTAATGAGATGTGACTCGCAGAAGTTTCCTTGTCTGCAAATAAAGTCCAGTATAAGCAATATGAATCAATTTGCAAAGCCACCTCATCAAAGTAATTGGGATAAATCACAGATCATAATGAATAAAGAGTGAATTTCTAGCATCTTGAAAGGAGTTAGTGTGAGCCACATAACACCTCAGGGCTCTGACAGAACATAACAAATGATCTTGGTCCAATTGGTCATAGAGGTGAGAAATAGCTGGCAAATCAATGGGTGAAAAGGATTTATTCCTTTCCCTGGCTGCCAGTCTTAGGTAGAAAGGACCTATCAGGGTATAGCAGGACATAAGTAGAGTGCTAAATAGTCCTGTATACAGGTAGTGCAAACAACTCCGACCTACGATTTCCACATGCCATCAGTAACAAAAAATATACTTGAAGGGAAAGGTGATACACGGTACATGAAGCTAAAGGCTCAAATGAATGTCGAGACAAAGCATGTAATACTACGTTAATATCCCACTTGGGTAATGGAAAAAGGTATTTGGGACGAAGGACTCTAAATGATTTGAGAAGCCCAGATTCAAATACTTTCCAATATTTAGAATATTGAAAAGTAGTTGATAAAGCTGCCTTATATAAAGAGACAGTAGATGAAGTTGGACCTTTGTCAAAAAGCCAGGTTAAAAAGTGAGATATGGTGGGCACACTTGGGTGAAGTGGGTTCAATTTCCTCGTGAGACACCATTGGCAATAAGTGCGCCATTTCTGTTGATATATGGCTATTGTGGGTCTACAGATAGATTGAGACAAATACAAGGCAACTTTAGAAGCTAAACCCCAATGCCGTGTCAAAGACCACATAACTTCCATACATAAAGTTTGAGCTTAGGAATGTCTGGGTGTAGAATGTCGGATCAGGGTTGCCTCAACAGAGGTGACCAGAGAAATGGCAGAGGTGGACACTCTTGAAGATATTATATGGGGTTACCAGCAGTACTCAACAAGTAGTGGATCGAATTATAGCCAGAACTCTGGATAAGAGATGAATTTGGGGAAAGGCATAGAGGTGCAATCCTGTCCAATCTTGATTGAATGTATCTATCACCAAAGCCCGAGGATGAGGTACTGAGGACGAAAACACCTGTAGTTGAGAGTACAAATGAGTGGCAATGCATTGATCCTAGTAGTCCTGTACTGAGAGCAAATCCATTGAAAAACCTCATGCTGGAGCATCCATTTGGTTGTGTCAGGACAGGTGATCTGCTATTAAATTCATCACTCCTGGAACACGGCAAGCCAGGAGGCTGATATGATGAAATGAGCACAGTAGATAATATCCAAAGTTCGAAAACAGAGATCCCGAGAACATGTGACCCCTTGACGGGAAATGTAAGAGACCATTGTAGAAAGGTACTGTTGGTCCGATCCAACCACCACTCAAGATCTAAGATGTTACTTCTCATTAAGGAGACTGGATGATCCATTGGTTGCACAGCAACCTCTGAAGGGACTGCATGTGTGCTCCTCCCAAAAGGAATCAGAGATTCAAGGGATGATCACACCCCCAAAAGAGAAAAAACCATCTGCGCAATAGGAGAAGGAGACACGAGTAAGAGCCTAACTGCTCATTCCATAGCCTGGAGGCAGAATGAAGTCAAACTTGGTCATCCACAGATCTGGTAAAAATTGGCAATGCAGGTTGATAAAGGACTCCATTGTGGAGGATCTTGAGACAAGAGAGATTGAAGATCAACTACCCATCTCCTGTCTTCTTGGGCACAACAAATAAAGAGGAATAAAATCCTGGAAGAACGGGATTAACTCTCTCTACCACCACCTTGACCAATAACTCTCTAATAGCCTGGAATTAAAAAACCACACTACGCGGATCTGTTGAGGGTGGAAATACCACTGAATGACCAACACCCGATGCCAGAACCTGAAGTACCCATGGATCTGTGGTGAAGGAATTCCAGGTGTCCAGAAAATGTTGTAATCTCGATCCCACAAACCCCATCCACATAGAGTAGTCACCAATGCCACTGGCAACAGTCTGCCTGAGCAGAGGAGCCTCAAAGATAAGGAGAGAGAGTCTATTCTGAGTACCAACAGATCAAGGAGCAGAAGCAAGGGTTGGGGACACACGATGAGCAGTCACGCAATGACTTCCAGCAGGAGCCAAAGAAAGTCTAGAGGCCAACAACGACAAGGAAGAATGCAAATGGGCAACATCAATTCATGATTCCAATACCTCTGGGATGCCCACAAACATCAAGGGATGAAGAAATGAAGCCTGACATAACCCACAAAGGGCTACAGTAGGTAGACGAACTCCCTCAAACAAGGCATCTCTACCTAATAAATCCCAACAACATACAAGTCAGAAAACCAAAGAAAGATCAGAAGCTGACAATCTTACCAAAGTAGAAGCCAGCAAAAGACCCAATTCATCCTCAAATTGATGTGGGAAATGCTGATAAGCTTCCAACAAAATCTGGAGGGAAGATAAATATCTCAGAGCAGTAGTGAGAGTCAAATTAATCCGAGAAAATTGTTATCTGTTCAAAGTGATCACAGGGTCCAGTGTGGAACCCCACATGTCCAAAAGAGGATCAAGTCTTTGGGAATCTAAATATACATCATCCTAGAAGTGGTAAGCCAAAGCATGCTGTTCAGACAAATGTGGGGGTCAAGGCATAGATATCTCATCATGTAATTGAGCAGTAAATCTCCCAGCATGAACAGCAATATCAG